ATGCACCGAAATTGACACCGTAATTGAAAGAGTAAAAAAAAAAAACGTATTGGGAAATTTGGAACTCTTTAAATATAACCGAACCCACACGGTCTCATGAGATGTCGGATGTGACGTCAGTGCTCCAACTTGCTACAGGTCAACACTGAATTCGCAATGCACTACGTACTCAGTCCGAAAGAGGATTTATAGAGGAAGTCAAACTTTTTTATCATATACCATAGAGTCGAGACCGTGAAGACATAAAAGGGATGAACGAGATATTTCACCTCGCGAATAAGGGGGGGATTTTTCATATCTCCAACGTGTCTCTTCACTCTCCAATAATGTCTTCATCCAATTACGGTCGATGCGCCAATAAATGTCGGCTGTAATTGACTAGACGAGGCATTAAAGGGTGGGCAAGAAACTGAGCCTACATGTGTCCATGGACATGTTCATTCCTTCTCGACAACACTCTTTTCGTTCAGATCACAACCGATTTCTCACTTGAAGATCATGAGCTTTTATGGAGATGTGTTTCACACAAAAAAACGACCAAAAACAACTAAAATATAATAAACTTGAGAAGAAAATGAGAGTGTATATTATCAAGTTATTTAGACAAAATAGATCGTCAGATAACTTTTATAAAATTAACAACAGATATATACTTTTCATCATGAGCATTATGTAGAGCTGTGCATATTATTATTTTCATTATTATACTTCATGAGAATTTAATTTGATCCTATTTAGTCTGTGTAGAATTAGCTCAAATTTAATTCAATGAATGATTCATTGAATTCAACACTGAAAAATCTGTCTTGCTACAACCCGGCCTGATACAAAAGAGTCATCTACTCATTGAAATACCCATCCCTCAATTGAGTATAAAATATACTTAAATCAAGTATATTTTTTCTCCCGAAGCAGAAACCAGATGGACGGATAATTTTTATCACAAGTTTAACGTGATAAATGTTTCGATCGTTCAGGGGCATTGACAAGCGCCGGAAAGTGACGCTCGATATATCGAACGGTACCAAACTCGTGCTCTACATTCAGAGGGTGGAAAATATGTGAATTCGTGCTAACAGGGAATAAGGTACGCCGAGGTCATCGAGTGGATGAATTGCGGAGTCGTATCAAGCACAATGAGAGTTCGATGAAGAAAATCATAAAAGCTCTGAAGAAATTTAAATAAAAACTCAACGTACGTGAGTTTTAAGTTAAGCCGATTCCGATAATGGGAACAATGAAATATTCGATAAGTTCTTCCGCGGATTCAACACGACCAAGTGATATTGACTTGAGGAACATTCTGTGCGGATTTCAACAAATATTCGTGACTCATAATATAAAAAAAATATATATAACTCGTTCTATTATTTTTACCTTCGCAAATAATTTCCAGTGGACGATCCGAGAGAGTGAGTTTTTTGCAACACCACATCAGTTAAATTATTAAAAACTTTTGAACAATCGAAGGACTATTGGGACATGCCAGGTTATCATAGTCCTACGGTGAAGAGGGCGCAAGTGGTGAGCATCGTGACCAACTTTGGCGCACGAAACGCGAGCCTCCCCCGTCTACCTGATCGATATAGAAACCACGAGGATAAAGGCTCCTACAATTTATGCTGTACTCCGGTTTCAATTTATATGTTTACAGGGACCTCAGCACGGAGAGAACAGTTGATGAAAAAATATCCGGAAAATCTCGGTAAATTGTGCGGCCCGAAAGGTAATCGTGGAGCGAAATATAATTCGATAGTTGCACTTTCCAAACATTGCGATGAAATATAGGGATCAACACTCGTGCAAAAAGTGTTCTTTGACCCTTGGTAGGCACCTCCCACGGGTTAAAAACACGTTTTTCTAATACCTGCCTGAAAAGTGCACTTTTCGAAACGGTTTAGTGTGCGTTTCGCTTGGCATTATACGCTCGAAATTCACTTTACGCACGCTATTTGACTTTACGCATTCATAGGCTTTCAATTGAAAACCCGAGTTGTAGACCCGAGTTTGTAGCAGCAATGTCAGACAAGATATGAATGTTTTTTTGGGCTCAAACGAAAGAGCGGGTCGAGAAATGACGTGCTAGAGCCTCTAAACATGACAAATGTCTCTAAAGATGATATCTGTTTTCAATTGAAAAGCAGAGTTGTGACATCATTGTCTAGGAGGACAATGGGGTCTAGGAGTATGTATAGAACATTGGGGTCTAGGAGTCTCCCCTGGTTCAAAACCATCTTTAGAGGTCCTAGCACGCCATTTCTCGACCCGCTCTTTCGTTTGAGCCCAAAAAAACATTCATATCTTGTCTGACATCTTTGCTACAAACTCGGGTCTTCAACTCGGGCTTTCAATTGAAGGCCCGAGTTGTAGACCCGAGTTTGTAGCAGCGATGTCAGACAAGATATGAATGTTTTTTTGGGCTCAAATGAAAGAGCGGGTCGAGAAATGACGTGCTAGAGCCTCTAAACATGACAAATGTCTCTAAAGATGATATCTGTTTTCAATTGAAAAGCAGAGTTGTGACATCATTGTCTAGGAGGACAATGGGGTCTAGGAGTATGTATAGAACATTGGGGTCTAGGAGTCTCCCCTGGTTCAAAACCATCTTTAGAGGTCCTAGCACGCCATTTCTCGACCCGCTCTTTCGTTTGAGCCCAAAAAAACATTCATATCTTGTCTGACATCTTTGCTACAAACTCGGGTCTTCAACTCGGGCTTTCAATTGAAGGCCCGAGTTGTAGACCCGAGTTTGTAGCAGCGATGTCAGACAAGATATGAATGTTTTTTTGGGCTCAAATGAAAGAGCGGGTCGAGAAATGACGTGCTAGAGCCTCTAAACATGACAAATGTCTCTAAAGATGATATCTGTTTTCAATTGAAAAGCAGAGTTGTGACATCATTGTCTAGGAGGACAATGGGGTCTAGGAGTATGTATAGAACATTGGGGTCTAGGAGTCTCCCCTGGTTCAAAACCATCTTTAGAGGTCCTAGCACGCCATTTCTCGACCCGCTCTTTCGTTTGAGCCCAAAAAAACATTCATATCTTGTCTGACATCTTTGCTACAAACTCGGGTCTTCAACTCGGGCTTTCAATTGAAGGCCCGAGTTGTAGACCCGAGTTTGTAGCAGCGATGTCAGACAAGATATGAATGTTTTTTTGGGCTCAAATGAAAGAGCGGGTCGAGAAATGACGTGCTAGAGCCTCTAAACATGACAAATGTCTCTAAAGATGATATCTGTTTTCAATTGAAAAGCAGAGTTGTGACATCATTGTCTAGGAGGACAATGGGGTCTAGGAGTATGTATAGAACATTGGGGTCTAGGAGTCTCCCCTGGTTCAAAACCATCTTTAGAGGTCCTAGCACGCCATTTCTCGACCCGCTCTTTCGTTTGAGCCCAAAAAAACATTCATATCTTGTCTGACATCTTTGCTACAAACTCGGGTCTTCAACTCGGGCTTTCAATTGAAGGCCCGAGTTGTAGACCCGAGTTTGTAGCAGCGATGTCAGACAAGATATGAATGTTTTTTTGGGCTCAAATGAAAGAGCGGGTCGAGAAATGACGTGCTAGAGCCTCTAAACATGACAAATGTCTCTAAAGATGATATCTGTTTTCAATTGAAAAGCAGAGTTGTGACATCATTGTCTAGGAGGACAATGGGGTCTAGGAGTATGTATAGAACATTGGGGTCTAGGAGTCTCCCCTGGTTCAAAACCATCTTTAGAGGTCCTAGCACGCCATTTCTCGACCCGCTCTTTCGTTTGAGCCCAAAAAAACATTCATATCTTGTCTGACATCTTTGCTACAAACTCGGGTCTTCAACTCGGGCTTTCAATTGAAGGCCCGAGTTGTAGACCCGAGTTTGTAGCAGCGATGTCAGACAAGATATGAATGTTTTTTTGGGCTCAAATGAAAGAGCGGGTCGAGAAATGACGTGCTAGAGCCTCTAAACATGACAAATGTCTCTAAAGATGATATCTGTTTTCAATTGAAAAGCAGAGTTGTGACATCATTGTCTAGGAGGACAATGGGGTCTAGGAGTATGTATAGAACATTGGGGTCTAGGAGTCTCCCCTGGTTCAAAACCATCTTTAGAGGTCCTAGCACGCCATTTCTCGACCCGCTCTTTCGTTTGAGCCCAAAAAAACATTCATATCTTGTCTGACATCTTTGCTACAAACTCGGGTCTTCAACTCGGGCTTTCAATTGAAGGCCCGAGTTGTAGACCCGAGTTTGTAGCAGCGATGTCAGACAAGATATGAATGTTTTTTTGGGCTCAAATGAAAGAGCGGGTCGAGAAATGACGTGCTAGAGCCTCTAAACATGACAAATGTCTCTAAAGATGATATCTGTTTTCAATTGAAAAGCAGAGTTGTGACATCATTGTCTAGGAGGACAATGGGGTCTAGGAGTATGTATAGAACATTGGGGTCTAGGAGTCTCCCCTGGTTCAAAACCATCTTTAGAGGTCCTAGCACGCCATTTCTCGACCCGCTCTTTCGTTTGAGCCCAAAAAAACATTCATATCTTGTCTGACATCTTTGCTACAAACTCGGGTCTTCAACTCGGGTTTTCAATTGAAGGCCCGAGTTGTAGACCCGAGTTTGTAGCAGCGATGTCAGACAAGATATGAATGTTTTTTTGGGCTCAAATGAAAGAGCGGGTCGAGAAATGACGTGCTAGAGCCTCTAAACATGACAAATGTCTCTAAAGATGATATCTGTTTTCAATTGAAAAGCAGAGTTGTGACATCATTGTCTAGGAGGACAATGGGGTCTAGGAGTATGTATAGAACATTGGGGTCTAGGAGTCTCCCCTGGTTCAAAACCATCTTTAGAGGTCCTAGCACGCCATTTCTCGACCCGCTCTTTCGTTTGAGCCCAAAAAAACATTCATATGTAGTCTGACATCTTTGCTACAAACTCGGGTCTTCAACTCGGGTTTTCAATTGAAAGCCCGAGTTGTAGACCCGAGTTTGTAGCAGCGATGTCAGACAAGATATGAATTCGTTGTTACAGAACATCAAGAAAAATGAGTTTCGTCTCGCAAATAAGATATTTATAGATAACGGACTGGAATTGCAAGCCGATTTTCAACGTGTTATCAAAAATATTTTCCAATCAACAGTTCAGGGCGCAGACTTCTCCCAGACTGTACAAGCAGCTAGAAGCATCAATGATTGGGCATCCGAAACCACCAACAATAAGATTCATAATCTTTTTGAGACGAATGATCTTCAAGGCGCTGTTACAGTTCTAGCCAACGCCGTTTCTTTCAAGGGAAATTGGAAGAAACAGTTCTCCAAAAGCTTGCCAAAACCATGAGATTTTCATTTTAATGAACGAATCACTAAGAAAGTTGACATGATGTCAATGACAAATGATTTTCATTATGGTAGACTCACCAAAATAGGTGCAACATACGTGGAAATTCCATATGAAGTATGAAAAAATGTTCAGTTTTTTCAAGGGATTTATAACAAATGAAAATTATTGAGATTACGCGATTGCAGGCCGAGGACAACAGAAGCCAAATGACTATGCTTGTGATTGTGCCAGACGAAATCAGCGGACTCCAACAGGTCGAAAGTGATCTCCACAAGGTAGACTTTTCTGCCCTCCAGGGAAGCATCTCAAAGGTTCAGTTATTCATGCCGAAATTCAAGGCCGAAAGTAAATTCAATCTTGAGGGAGTTTTAAAGAAGGTACGTCTTCATGATTTTCTTGATACAAGATAACATTCTGTTGTTAATTTCTAGAATCGTGAAATCTAGTAAATAATTTTGTGCTCAGAGTGAGAGAAAGAAGTCGTTCAACAAGATGAGATTCTCTTGTCACGAGAAAATTTTCAAGTCTTCCCATAAATTCATATAGTTTGCGTTATATCTAGAATTTAATGGATGGTGAGAATTCACACTTTCCCGATCTGGTCACTCATCATCTCCAACTAAGGAACTCTTGTTTCGATTGCACGATGAACACTTTCATTATCAATTCATGTGTTCATAGTTTCGTTGGTTGATATGCGAATTCCTCCTTACAGTTGGGTATGAAAAACATGTTTGAACGCTCAGCTGACTTTAGTGGTATCACAACAGCTCCGATGCACATCAGCAAGATTATACAAAAAGCTTACATCATGGTGGATGAAAAGGGCAGTGAAGCTGCAGCAGTCACTGGTGAGCAACACTAGCATGATTAATCTGGGGAAATTTCAAATGATAATTTCCTCAATACTGATTTCGACCAATTAGAGGGCAGTATTCGGTATGACGTGACACCTTCATATTAGTTTTATTTTCATAATTTCCCGGAATATGGGTGAATTATCGCATTTTGGTAAAAAGTGTCACGTAATCCTGAACACCGCACTCTGTTCGGCCGAAATCAGAATTGAGGAAATTATTCTCCGAATACCCCTCGAACTTCAAAATTCATCGGATATTTCCCTTAAGTTACTACTAGGAGATTAGTTTACTGTTACCTAAAAATGTGTTTTCTTTAAAATTATTGTCACTTTCATTGCAGGTGGCGCTGGTATGGGGATTCGACCGGGACCAACAGAGCCAATAATTACCATGAAAGTCGATCGACCTTTCATTTATGCCATTGTACATGGAAATGCCAAAACAGTACTCTTCCAAGGTCATGTCACTTCACCAGCTGTTTAAGCGTCATCTTGTGATAAGTTCAACAAAATAAATAGCGCAACCTTTTCATATCTGTAATGATGAAATAAATTAGTTCATCTCGATTGCTTCTAAATTTCGTTCTCTCCAGACATACGAATAAAAATATGATTGAAGGTCGAGAAACACTTGCTTACATAACAGCACAAAGTATAAACCACAAAATGCTAGCGATAACGGTCAGATGAGGTTGCGCTCTGAACTATGACATAATCTTTACGTATGGTAACACTATTCTCCAGCATTGTTTTCAAAAATATGATTACGAAAAAAACCGGACTATGGAAACAAAACCAAACAACTTGATAAAAAAAACCCGAAGCTGCCGATAATCTCGAAAATTGAATATATAAAGAGCCGGCAGTTCTGTATTTCTGTTCAGTAATTATCGAGTCAGTACACAACAGTCTCACAACATGAGAGGTAATTATTATGATAAAATTTATCAATTCTTGAAATTGAAATTTCTGTCAAGCAAAGTATTATTCGTGGGGCTTTCCATGCACGTCATCAACAGTTTTGGCAAGTGACTTAAATACATATTTTTTAAAATAATAATTTGAAGCCCTCGTGATATTCGGAATCACCTTTCTGGCGACATCATGGGGAATGTCCATCCCGGAAAATCCTGAAGCTCTGCGGACGGTCTCCAAAGGAATGAATCTGTTCGCTAGGGAATTCTACATGGTAAATTGTACTATTAGAAATTTTCTGAAATTTCAGTGGAACTTGAACACTCTATAAAACCTTTCGAACTCAAGAGGGATTTTTCTTTTACACTACAGATTTATTCCACGTTCTTACGTAAAAACTCGCGAAAGAGCATTCTTTAATGTTATGATGATAATTTCAGAGAAGCGTCAAAGATATGAACAAGAATTTCGTTATGTCACCAATCGGCATCAGTATGGTGCTTTCAATGGCATCCTTCGGTGCAGGTGGTAATACGAAAACCCAAATGCAGAACGCCCTAAATATGCCCACCGATGATACTGTGGCGAAGAGTGGAATCAAGTCAATGATGGATCAGCCTAAAGTAAATTTGATTGAATATTCAATTAAATTAATGTTCTATTCATAAAATTTAAGATATTCTCTTCATGGTAGGATATGAAGGGCGTTGAATTGATAATGGCCAACAGGATTTTCACAAACACTGGCGTAGAAATGAAACCCACGTTCAAGGAAGTAACGGAGAAGACCTTCGACTCTGCCGCTCAAAGTCTGGATTTCACAAAGCCCGAGGCTACTGATAACATCAATGCCTGGGCTGCGGAGAAGACGAATAACAAAATTCAAAATTTGATGAAACCAGGTAAATGAGACACTCGATGTTTATTCGTCTGATGTCTTGTGTCTTCTTTCACAATACGATATTTGAAATCACCAATTGATATTGGCAGATGACATCAAAGATGCTTCAATGGTGCTTGCTAATGCTGTATACTTCAAGGGAAAATGGGAAAAGCCTTTTAACGCACTGATGACGACGCCGAAAATGTTTCACACGGATGACAAGATCACTAAGGATGTCCCAATGATGAGCAAGATGGATCATTTGTTTTATGGAGAACTACCTAGTGTGAATGCAAAATTTGTGGAATTACCATATGAGGTGTGTGAAATTTTTTACCTTCTTACTTTCGAATGGAAGAAGCTTTGTAATCTCTCCCATTCAAGTTTCCAATTTTGCGTGTTAGGGCTGCGAAAATATGGGGTAAAGCAAATTGCTTATTTATTACCAACATAACTATACTCATTTATAAAAATGATGTAATAATCCACTTGTTTCCTGTTCGACATTTTGATATCTGACATAACACGTAAAACAACTCAATGTTTTGATTTTCAGCGCGAGAAGGGTTCTACGGGCAACCATGTCAGCATGTTCCTGATTGTACCAAACGAAATTAACGGGTTGAAGGATATCGAGAAGAATCTAAAAACTCTCGGGATGGATACGATTCGCAAACACGGAGTAATGAGGGATGTGGCACTTGAGATGCCCAAGTTTAAAATGGAGAGCACCACAGATTTGAAGCCTGTGATGGAAGAGGTTCGCATCAGACTATTCCTTCAATTCCTCATAACTTCCGATGCAGAAACGGTGCCAATCAATAATTGTCTTTCATTACAGATGGGAATGACCGATATGTTCAGTGATAAGGCGGATTTCACCGGTATCGCCGATTCACCACTATTAAAAATTACCAAAGCAATGCAAAAAGCTATGATTGACGTGAATGAAGAGGGGAGTGAAGCTGCTGCGGTCACCACAAGTATACACCATTGATGAATTAATGAAGAAAGGTAGCTAGATCATGATATTAATTTTTTTCTTATCGTTTCAGTGATTGTAGCCCCAATGTCATTGCCTATACCTCCGGAACAACCAGTGACTCTGGTCATTGACAGACCTTTCTACTTCGCCATTGCCATGTTGAACAACGAGTTGGAGGGGGGCCCGGCGAGAACTATGCTTTTCAGCGGTCGTGTAATGGACCCCACACAGTAAAAAAATCAGTAAAAAAATTGATTAATATATGCACTGCAATACTCGAAAATACCGAGGTGATTATGTAACCCACATTGAATAAATATTCGGACGAATAAAAAATGATTCTAAGAGTATTTTTTTCCTAGGGGCCATTCATTTGGAAATTTGGTGACACAGTGATTGCTGGTTTCATAATTTCATGAGATTTCACCAATTACAAGTGATTTAGAAAATGAGTGGCCCCTCGTTTTCTCTGCATTAAATCTTCAATTCTGCATGGCAGTTGTAAAGCTTGCCACCTGAAGCAGATGCAAAATTGCCATCTGAAAGTCCATAATAGTCATGACTTATATCTGATGAACTTTATTTTGTAATAGGTCAACTTTTATTGGAAATATTCAACATCTGAATGCTAAAATAACATTTAATTGAGGTTCATCAACATAATTACATGACAAATAGTCAATATCTAAAGATACTGAGTAACAAATCACAACCCGCGGCCTTGATCTTCATGAAGGTCAAGTTTTGTCAGTTTTGCAGATGGAACCATGAGTTTAAGATATTCCATCCGCGTTGTTTCAAAACGGGATGACCTATGGAGAAGAATTGCCATGCATACGGAACAAATAAAAAAAGTTATGAAAATTGACTATAAGGAAATTTTTTTTCCCTTTAAAATAAACACGAGTTATTTTTAAGACTATTTATGACGGTATAGACATGTGTATTCGGTTTTAAATATCACATTACATAATTTTACATAAATCAATAACCGACGGTCATGTATTTATTTAAACGCTATTGGTATGTGAAACGTTGTAGACAGAGGAGAATAATATTTCTTTGGATTGCTTATCTCAGGAAAAAAAAGAGTGTTTCTCAGGGTCTGAGTGGGGATTCCCAAGTCGATTCATGTGATAAATACTCAGGCGCTTGGAACACGGAATATTAGTTCTGCTTCAGTGTCGTATCGCTCCACGCATTCGCATCGCACGTTTCAAACACACTTGATATCCAACGCATTTGTAAAATGAAGCGTTGTACGTATTGTTTCGAATATTTTTTGCCACCTTGTTCATAGCACAGTTGTTAATACAGTTAATTGCCCATTAGATTCCATTCTCATCGCTCTTGGTGTAGTTCTTATGACTTCATATCTTCCAAATGCATTATCAGTAGCTGTTGACGGAAAGGATGCCGCCCTCAGGGCTGTTTCAACATCACTCAATGAATTTGCTGTTAAGTTTTATAAAGTAAGAATTTTTTAACTATTTTTGCTTACTCATGGAAGCATTGCAATCGTTGAAATTTAAGTTTCGGATTTTTTGTGTTATATCGACCTATGATGATCAATAAGTGTAAGAATTCTGAATTAAATCTTTTTTTTTTCTCATGTAGGTATTGTTGAGCCCTATCCATTGACATTAATTATAATTTCATCCATGCATTATATTTTGGAAACTAAATTAAAAATATAACACAATTGATTAAAGAGAAAATTTCATTGAATTTAATAAAATGATATGTAACGATGAGTATAGAAGCAGATGATGCGCAAAAAGACCACTCCGAAGGATATTGCAAATTTATTAGCAAAAAACTATACGACGTCAACATGAAAGCAATTTCCCACTTGTTTTTTTTTTCAAAAAACCTCAAATTTTCTGATAAGTTTTTGTTACTCATAACGACTCCAATATGTACATGACAGGCCATATCAGAGGAAAAAAAATCAGAGAATCTAATCTCCTCACCCGTGAGTGTTTCAATGGTTTTATCAATGGCAGCATTTGGAGCAGGTGGTGAAACAGCAAAAGAAATGCGTTCAGGACTTCATCTACCAGCGGACGACGCTGTTACCAAAAGTGGTTTTGAATCTCTAATCAATACCCTCAATGTAAGTTCATCACTTATATCCAACAACAAAATAATCAGTCTAACCCGGATTATTATCTCCAGAATGTCAAGAAAGTCAAGCTCCAAGTAGCCAACAAAATTTTCACTGCAAGTGGCTTCGAGGTGAAGCCAGCCTTCAAAGAGGTGACCACAAATTCGTTCAAATCCGCAGTAGAGAGTCTGAATTTCGGAGATGCTGAAGCCGCCAGCGCGACAATCAACGCCTGGTCTTCAGCCCAAACAAACGGTCTCATCAAAGACGTGATCAAACCAGGTGATTCATCACTGTTGACACCACATCAATGAAATTGCCGTTGAATCATCATTTTACTTATTTCTTTCCTTATTTGTTCACTGAAGATGATCTCGCTCAAGCTGCTATGGTCTTGGTAAACGCCGTGTACTTCAAAGGACAATGGAAGAAAAAATTTAACGAATCCCTGACAAAACCCAAGCCATTCTACATCAACGAGAAAACTACGCAGGATGTCCCCATGATGACCACACGTCATAGTTACAATTATGGAACTCTGCCGGACCTAGACGCCCAGTTCGTAGAGCTGCCTTATGAAGTAAGTTACATTGCGTCATTGAAAAGTAATTCATCAGCAATGGATCTACACCCTTTTATTCACCGTCAACAGCATGAAGATGAAAAAGATGCTATAAGCATGTTCATCATCCTCCCCAACAGTGTTGAAGGACTGCGGAAAGCCGAGAGCAATTTCCACCACGTGAACTTCCAAGAGCTTCATAACCGAGGCCGCACGACTGACATGTACCTATACCTTCCCAAATTTAAAACCCAGAGTTCCCTGAACTTGGAGCAACCTCTTAAAAAGGTACGAAAAAAAAGACAATTGTCTTCACGGATAACTGATCATCATTTTTCTGCAGATCGGACTGGAGCGTATGTTCTCGGACAACGCAGACTTTACAGGAATCACAGACAGTCCACCACTGAAAATAAGTAAAATACTCCAGAAAGCTATAATCGAAGTGAATGAAGAGGGAAGTGAGGCTGCAGCTGTCACAGGTATTTTTTTGCAATAATCTTTGTCTGTGTTTTTCCTACGAGCTTCTGTGCTATCATTCATGGCCTTGACACCTAGCTTCAACCCTGCACGGAATGTTCCATTGATCTCAAACTCTTTCATTTCAGTGGGAGTAATAGCAGTACGATCAGGGCACGTTCTACCACTTCCCATAACCTTGACCATTGACAAACCATTCGTTTACGCTATTGTGCATAGCGCTACAAATACCATCCTTTTCCAAGGCCATATTACTAAACCAGTCTATTAATTTATGCTTTAATGAGTAACCAAAAGTTTAATGTTAACGATTGTAATTTAATGGTAGAATAAATCGTCGTTTGTATTGAAAAAAATGTATGTAAATTCGTGTTGTCTACTTGCAGTAGGAATAGCAGTTGCATACTCCGCACCAGCGCAACCGATTCGACCAATAACAGTCGAAATTGACAGGCCATTCATTTATACGATTGTTCACGGATCGACCAATACTGTTCTCTTCCAAGGACACATCACATTCCCCGTGAATTAGAGTAGGAAAATCGGCAATCATTTATCATTTTGTGACATGCAATCAGCAGTAGTAGTGATCATTTATGCTACACTGAGGGAAAAAAACTACTTTTGACAAAGAAGGTTTTTCGATACAAAAAAATATTCTTTTGTCAATTTAAAAAATCGCGAAACCTACTGACAAATAATTTCGGTCTCGGATTGAGAGAAAAAGGTTTTCCAACAGGATGAGATTTTCTTATTCAGAGAGAATATTTAAGCGTTCTCAAGACTAGAAATGATGTCCTTTTCATGAATTAATGTAGTTTGCGTTATCTTGCATAAAGAGCTCAGCACTTGCGATCAATTTTCTATTGATCTTGATTCTAGAAATTGAGATGAGAATATTTTTTTGTGCCAAGGAAATCATCTTTGTCAAAAGTAATTTTTTTCTCAGTACAGAGGGATGAATATCATTCATGCTTTTAGCGGTACCTAACTGTTCAATTTTTGTAATGGAGATTTAGTGCATAAATGAATCTATTCGTACCAAGGAAAAACGTACATTCTTATCATTTACATCCAGTAGGTATAGCAGGTGAGTCTGCTCGGCCCGCGCCACCAATTCAGCCAATTACGATGGAAATTGACAGGCCCTTTATTTATGCTATTGTCCAAGGATCTACCAACACCGTTTTGTTCCAAGGACACATCACACTTCCGAAAAATTAGAGTAGGCAGAGATCAATTATTTTCATCTAAACTGGGATCAATTTCAATTCATTCTTTGGTAAAACAAAGTAAAAATTCTCAAAACACAGACATATATTATCTAAGAATATTGTGGGAACCTTGAAACATAAAAATGTAATGAAAAATACTTTCGTGTTTTTGCTTTTATATCAAAAAGCTAATGATACTTTCGGAAAATAGAAAAAAAAACGTCAAAATCATAAGCATCGATAGAATATTCTTTTACACAACTGTGTATAGAGAGATCAATATTCTTCTTTTTCGAAGCCACATCACTGAATCATTCTACTAACACTCATGCTTCAACCAGTAATTAACACCTCAGTGTTGCTGAATTAAATGTATTCAATGAATGAATCTCCATTAGTATCGACGAAATATGTAAATTGGCATTGTCTACATCCAGTAGGCATATCAGTCGTGGATTCCCTATCCGAGGACCCGATTCTGCCAATTACAATGGAAATTGACAGGCCCTTTATCTATGCTATAGTGCACGAATCGACCAATACTATTCTCTTCCAAGGACACATCACATTTCCGAAGAATTAAAGAAAATAGATTTATAGTGTTGATTTGAAATGTCTGCGATGTAATTGATGGTAATGGCTTGGTAATACATGACACTGTGACATGTTGAGTTCGATCAATAGTTCATACTTTCGAAATTTTGTCCAATGAAGGAATGTATTCTTTGCTTTCAGTAGGCATAATTGTTCCATCATCCGCAGCCGCGCTACCGATTACACCAATTACAATGAAAATTGACAGGCCCTTCATTTATGCCATAGTTCATGGATCAACAAATACCATTCTCTTCCAAGGACACATCACACTTCCGGAGAATTAGAGTAATCAATTGATAATTTTCGTCCATTATTTGAAGTGTAATTAATTCAGATGGCAATGATAACACATGACACTGTGACACTGTATTAAGTCACAGTTTCAATAAACAACGTATCCGGGAAACGTCAAATTTATTCTTTAAAAAAGCAAACCCCCCAACAAAAAAATGAAGACTGACTATAGCAAATCGATCAGGGCACGTCGTGATGTTCCCTTTTAAAGGCTAGTTCACTAAGAAACCCTTTTTCATCCACACATTATCCAACTGAACAATTAATTTACACTTCGTAATCTCTGTTCTATGAAGGCAAATCTCCTTTGTTCTCAGAAGTAATATTTGAAGAAACCGCCCTCGCGGACCCAATTGAACCAATCACAGTGAAAATTAACAGGCCCTTTATCTATGTCATAGTTTATGGATCAACCAAGGTGATCCTCTTCCAAGGACATATCACCCTTCCGGAAAAATTGTAACGAGCAATGTATAATTTTCATCAATTATTCTCGATAACTGAATGATTCAGATAGCATGGTACCACTTCATATGTTGAACCCAATCAGTGTTCAATTAATAAAACAGCAATAAGAAATGTCCAATTTATTCTTCAAAAATCCCGGCTTCTTGATCATAATACAAATGATGATTAGGGCGCATTGTAACGGATTTGGCCATCAAAGTGGCATACTCCTGGTATCAAAGTGGCATTAATTCGATTAAACAGAACGATTAAAAAAGTGTCTCGAAGTCGTGATGTTCCCTACGATAATTTTAACAGCTGATGGCAAAATTAAGGTGCAAATACAGTCCTTTTCCGGAGTTAAATTCATGCTTCAACAAAAGTAACTAACTTTACATTCGTGTTGACAAAATGTGGAAATTCGTGGTGTTCAATTTCAGTGGGCATAGGAGCCGCGACTAGCGCACATCAGCCACCCATCCTGCCGATAACAGTGGAAATCAACAGACCCTTCAGCTATGCCATAGTTCAAAGATCAACCAATACTGTTCTCTTCCAAGGACATATCACACTTCCAAAAAATTAAACGTGATAAAAATATTTAATTTTTGTCCGACGGTAATGGTTGGGTGAGTTAGGTGTTGCTCCGGCGGACATCCGATTGCAACTGCGCTTAGCGCGGTCAGTACTTGGATGGGTGACCGCTTAGGAACACCCTCGCCCAAAAATTTCGGAAGATAGGCAGGGTGTAGTGGCCTAATGTGCCCCTCTAGTCAGTGTGACAGAAGGATACATTAGGGCTTTGCACAATCGGCCGGCTGTACGACTGGGGTTTTCCATGGTTTCCCGTGCAGTTCTAGCCCAAATGGGGTACAGTTAAAAGTAAGACGGCCCATGGTAACGCAGATAAAAATTAGAACAGAGAAGTAGGAGAGACAAGGCAGACGAATGGAGAGCCTATAAAACCGTAATGGTAGTATGAATAAAAAAAATATTCAATTTTTGTTCAATGTTATTTGACGTGTAGTTAATCTTTAGTCCAATAAATCTTGAGCAACTATGTATGAAATTTTTTATAGAAACCCAAATGATGATTTACTATAGAACAACAAAAACTAGTGGGAAAATAACTCCTATCTGTTAAGCATTTCCGACATTCGATCGAGGAAAATATTGTGACAACAATGAACTTCATCCTAGAAATATATTGCGGATACACTGAATAATTGTAGGATGAATAAAGGAAATGCTCTGTGTTATTATTCAACTCAAGAGCCAGCTTTCGAAGTTGAGCCCAGGGGTATATACTTTTTAACGCAATCCATCTCCTAAAGATAAAATCCATCTGAATCAACATAATTAAATCTCATCAAATAATTCTTCATTCAAGTTGAATTTTTTCATCTCAAAACTGTCAACATTTATTCATTTTTTCCAGAATAAACGCAATGTACGCATCAACTCAAACATCACTTCACATTTTTAATCCCTTAATACTGAGAAAAAACTAGACTTGTCACAAGCATTTGTAACAGAAAAAAAAATCGAAACAAACGACAAAAAAACACTTGAATGAATCGTGAGAAGTTTGAATCAATCGTAAAAATTTTCAATCCTTTCTCTGGCGGCAGAGTGAAAAACGATTGGAGTTATTATTTGAGTTATTTTGTACATCTGACAATTTGACTTGAGGTCGGTTCAACTTATTCCTCACCCCTTCTCCTTTTACATGAACAAGAACGACAAATCAGAGAAAACACACACTTGTGAATGTAATTAATGACATCTATAATTAAATGACAAAATTACGGATTCAATTTCATCAGTGAGCAAAAAAATCAATAAAAATACTAATTATTAAAAAAACTGTGGAAATTCTTCGATTAACTTTTAGGGAATGCAGACCCTCCATTCCAAACAGAAATGATCAAAACGTAAATATTTACACGATAGCCATCCATTCGATGACGTTTGCTCCGGTCGGTAAAACCCATCGAGTCACGTGATAAGTGACGTCACCCCATCCACCTACCCGCAGTTTCCACTTGCCAGCGCTCCGCATTATACGCCGCGCCGTTCAGAAGTATACAACAGAAATGTCAGAGCCGGCGAAATACAGCGCACTGTGCCCCATTACCGCCAGTATCAATAAATTTTCAACCGAGTTTTACAAGGTAATTGACAAGAATTTAAGGGGATACGTCGGTGAAATTCAAAAGTCTTCACTGGGCCGCGGGACCCATTGAACAGTTTGTGCTAAATGACGGAATATGGGAATAACTAGGGAAAATCGCGGTCCCGATCGATCTTACCCCTTATAACCGCGAGAAACTTCATTTTTTGCTGTTTTTACCTTCAAAATGTTTCTTGTGTCGTAATTTCATACGATTTTAGCTTTTTTTTATTAATGTTGATTACACTTCAAAGAATACAGTTGAGCATCCGTTTTACTTTATTCACAATAGATCATGAATAAATGAATTTTGAATTTCATAAATTTTTCGCATCTCTAGAGTACGAGTAAAAATTCATTGTTATTAGTAATTGAACATTGTCATCTTTATTAACAAAAAGGAGGTTGAAGCGCGAAGGCAGGTTCAAGAGAAAATTTATGAAATTCAAAATTCATTTATTCATGATCTAGTGAATAAAGTAAAACGGATGCTTAACTTTATTGTTTGGAGTATAAGGAACATTTTAAACAAAGCTAAAATCGTATGAAAACTAGGAAAAACAGAAAAAAGGTGAGTTTTTCGTTGTTGTACGGGGCAAAATCGATCGGGTCCACAATTTTCTCTAGTTATCCGCGTATTCCGTCATATATCACAAACTCTTTAATGGGTCCGAAGGCCCAATGAAGACTTGTAAATTTCACCGATGTATCCCCTCAAAAGTTCCATGGGATGAAGAAAATATAATTAAGGATCATTGGCCTTGCAGTCATTAGTGGGAGGAGAAAGCGGAAATGTAGTCTGCTCGCCGGTTAGTGTTTCAATGACCTTGTACATGGTAGCATTTGGAGCTCGTGGCAATACCGAAAATGAGTTAAAGTCGGTTCTCCACCTGCCGGCTGATAATTCCGTTGCTACAAGTGGTATTAAACTGCTAGTGGATCGACTGAGTGTAAGTTATTCTACATTGAGTATATTGATGAATTGAATTGATGCAAATCAATTGAATTAATTAATTAATTGGATAAACCGACATCAGTTGAATTAATCAATTGAATGGGAAAATTCAAGTTTTAGCTAAAATTCAAGTGGAAAAAAATGGAGATGTCACTTCAATTTTTAATTGAACGTTAATATTCAGTATCAAATTGAACTGAATCTCAGTTATCATTTATTTTTTCATTAATTTGTAATTTTTCAATGACAAGAATGTGCGAAATTTCAATGGAAATGCCACTCTTATTAAGTTTATCTATGAAAAGTTTGAAAGCCGTGAAGCAGTGCATGTGTTGAATATTAGAATCTTCCTTTTTTTCATAGTTATTAATTTTTGGAAATGAAAAAGCTTCAATCACTCCATTACTACATTGTCCAGTGCCTGAAGTTTCTGGTTTCGAAAAGTTAATAACTATGGACACGAGGATTTTTGAGAGAACGTTGTTGTAGAACGAATTGAGAGCTACAAAAATGTTTATATCGCCTTATATTTTGAGATATTAATTGAAAACTGATCAATAATCAAAATCGACTTGAATCGTTTTATCGCTTCGGTACTGAACTGTAATAAATTTATTGCCCCTAATTTTCAGAACTTCCAAAAAGTGAAGCTGAATCTGGCAAACAAGATATTCACAGCAAACGGTTTTGAAGTTAAATCAGAATTCAAAGCCATAACTCAGTCCTCATTTCGATCCGAGGTGGAGAGTGTTGACTTTACAAAATTCGACGAGAGCAGCAGAATTATCAATATTTGGTGTGAGAAACAGACTGAAGGACGCATCAAAGATGTTGTTCAACCAAGTAAATATCCTTGACATCACTGCAGACTGTCAGAAATATATGCATTCATATTTAATATTCAATTTCTTTGCAGGTGATATACAGGACGCTTCCCTAATTTTAGTGAATGCCATTCACTTCAAAGGAAAATGGGTTGAGCCATTCCAAACAGCGGATACTAGACTCCAATCATTTTCCATCAGTGAGACTGTCTCGAAGGAAGTGCCAATGATGTTCACAGATGCGAATTTTAATTACGGAGATCTTCCTGATCTTGATGCTCAGTATATTGAACTCCCATACGAGGTAAAGCAGACCAAAACGATCCACAACTGATGATTTAATTCATTGAATTTGTTGTTGTTATCAGAGCAAGGATGAGAGCGACGCCACTAGCATGTACATAATTCTTCCTGGAGAAGTCAGTGGACTGAAAAAAGTGGAAGAAAACCTGGAGAAAGTGGATTTTGCCCAACTTAACGGACCAAAAGATAGGGTTATGTTGAGCCTTCCAAAGTTCAAGGTTGAAAGCAAACTTGAGCTTGAAGGAGCCCTCAGCAAGGTTGGCAATTACTCTAAATCACTTTCTCAATGCGCAAAATAATTCTTCGTCACTAACGCAATTTGATATTCCAGATGGGAGTGAAGACAGCATTCACAGATGCTGCCAATTTCACGGGAATAACCGATGCGCCACCATTGAAAGTCAGTAAAGTCATTCAAAAAGCGTTCATAGAAGTGAATGAAGCGGGCACAGAAGCTGGTGCAGTCACATGTGAGTTCTTGTAAAAAGGAAAGCTGAAAGCTCTTCAACATTTTGATTAATTTTTCCCTTTACAGATATGAAAATGGTTCTTATGTGTCTCCCACCGAGCATTGTGGTAGACAGACCTTTCTTGTGTGCACTAGTCGCAAAAAGCATTGGCACACCCATCTTCATTGCTAAAGTAGTCGACCCAACGTTAACTTCGTAAAATAAGAAGAGAATTGAAGGAATATTTGTGATTTATAAATGTCGTGTGATATACGGAAACAAAGAATAAATTCTATTTATCTTATCGTGAATACTTTCAAGCCTCATTTATCTGCTAAGAAATCCCAAATTGAAAACGGATTATATCAACATTCCAAGAAATAAAAACAAGATATCAGAGTGTCATCGACCAATAATCTACAGGTAGATCCGGTATCTCAGAAATGACTGCGCGAAGCAAGAAAAACAAAGTTGGAAACCTACAGTAAAACAAATGGGAAATTACTCTTGTATTCCATATAGTATAGCTATTTTTGCTGATAAATTAGCAATATACTTTCGAATGGTTATTTTGCACATAATTTCCGTCTATCATGTATAACTCATTATTTATTTAATTTTATTAAATTGAATAAGATTTCTTTTCAACTAATTTTGTCAGATTTTCAACTTAGTTGAATGATATCATCATTATTATTCTTATTATCCCTTTCTTGGATACAACCGATTGTCGTTTTTACGGTTCTATCTCTCCCCTTAGCCCTTCGATAAAATATTGATAGAAAAATTTTATTTGCACGTTTGAATAAATTTAAAACATCACATTTGAAGAAAATTCATGAAAAACTTCGACTTAGTGGCATTAAACCAAACATTTTAAGCTATGATTGAATTTATTTCTCTTTTATTATTTATTTCGCCCCAAATTTTTTAAATAAAATGATTATTTGTTAAAAGGGGTCGCTTTCTTAACAATGTTATCGTAAATATTTTCGAATTTCATCAGCCTGTCGTAATTGGAATGTAAACTACATCGAAATGTTCAAACGATGATTAAAAAACATACGTATTCTGTATCAAAATAGACAAGTAATGAATCATCACCAGCAAGATAATAAAGACTGACTCACAGCTGTAAACATTGTTACTGTTGCTACCTGAAAATCCATCTTCCTCCACTCCCTGCCCTGTTCCCATGAAGGCCACCAGCAATTCCACGAAATCCGACTGATCGAATTGTATGTGCGGATAGACCATGAGAAGCATGAGACCCCACGTGATCAGATGACGTCACATGTTACATGGTGGGAGTGGCAAATGCTGTCCCTCTGAGTGAACAACACTCATTGCGTTCGACCCACAACGCAGTCTTTCCAACTGGTCATCGATCGTGGTCGTCCCTCTTCAGCAAAATTCTACCAACGCATTCACGATGTCAACCCCGGCAACTGCAGATGCTGTGCGCACTGTCGCCACCAACACCAGAAAATTCTCCTCAGAAATTTATAAGGTAAATAGATTGCTACTGATAAAAATACTTGAATTGACCAGGGAATTGAGATTCTTTGCAACTTCAGGTGGTGGCAGATCATCATAAGAAAAAAAACCTCATTTGTTCACCTTTGAGTGTCTCCGTAGTGCTGTCAATGTTGACTTATGGAGCTCGCGAGATAACAGAACGCGAATTAAAGTCAGTCTTGCATTTTTCTGAGAACGACACTATAAATAAAAGTGGATATCAATTACTCATTGATGCACTCAACGTAAGTATGATTTATACTGTTTTCAACGAAGGAAAAATATAAACTTTCTGAGAATTTCTCCCTTTCAGGCGATCAAATCAGTTCAACTTAAACTGGCGAATCGAATATTCGTGGGTGATGATTTCAAGATCAAACCCGAATTTCAACAAATAACTGAGACGTATTTTCGATCTGTGAGTCAGAATGTCAACTTTAAGAACACTGTAGAAGCCAGCAAGACGATCAACAATTGGTGTAAAGAAAAAACTAATGATCGCATCAAAGACGTCGTTCAACCAGGTGAGCTATCATTTCGTCATTTGATCCTATATGCAACCATTTCACATTACCGGGAATTCTGGAATTTTTTCTTTAATGCAACCTCCATTTTTACATCAGGGGGACTGAATGGAGTCGAGCTCGTCCTCGTCAACGCTGTTTACTTCAAAGGAAATTGGAAGAAGAAATTTGATGCTACGCACACGAAGCCAAGAACCTTTCACATTGACGAAAAGTCAACCAAGGAAGTGCCGATGATGCAAATAGAAGGAAGTTATAGACTGAGTGAACTGGCAGAACTCAACGCGAAATGCATCGAGCTCCCTTATGAGGTGTGAATCTTGCAGTGATCTTCAAATTCCATCTGATCAATTCAATCACTTATTTTCAGTCACTGATTAAAACAATTCACTGTTCCAGAGCAGCGATGAAACCGACGCCATGAGCATGTTTATTATTCTTCCCGACAAAATCGACGGTCTGAGAGCAATTGAAAATAAACTTGATACCACGGACTTGGTAGAGCTGCACAAGAATGAATCATTCTCACGCAAAATTGACTTGCAGTTACCCAAATTCAAAATTGAAAGTACTCTTAACTTGAATCCTATTCTTCAAAAAGTAAGTACCAAAAGCAGGGACTTCCTTCGAAATTTGATGCTGATCTTGATACAGAGGGCTTCAATGATCTTCTCGTTTCAGATGGGAATGGTAGACATGTTTGACGCCAGTGCAAACTTCCAAGGAATGGCGGATTCTCCCATATCTGTTAGTCAAGTAATTCAAAAGGCATTCATAGAAGTCAATGAGGAAGGCAGCGAAGCTGCGGCTGTTACAGCTGTTATGATGGTACGATGCTGTATGCCTCTTCCAGCAATGCCTGTTATTGTGGATAGACCATTTTTCTGTACAATTGTTGCTACGCACACGGGCACACAACTATTCTCCGCTCGTGTGGTTGACCCAGCTGTCTAAATTTTTGAAATACCCCAGAAAATGGAGAGACCACGTGTTAAAACACGCGATTTGCGTTCTTTGTTCTGTGATCTGTGGTTTCTTTGACTTCGCCTATATTTGTCACTGACTTAGCTAGTCAAACATTAATTTCGTAAGGTATAAAGAACAAAATATGCTATTTTTTAATTTTTTGCAATTTTATGCGATGCATGACAACAACGAATAAATACTTGGAGTTCGACTGTTATCGTCATTGGTGGTTGTGACAATAAGCTGAATTGAAAATCTAACAAAAATATTTGAAGTGTTACTCATCCCTCAAGGACAACGACCTTTTGACACCAACCTCACCGCGTGCTAAATGGCAATGCGATGCACCACCTTCCAATAGTACAAAAATGATATGAAGTAGGAAATAATCAAAGTCAAGCGACAAACCGTCACAATAATATTTGCATTCATTTGTAAAGTTCTATATTTTCGGAAACATTCAACTTTGTAAAGAGACATACATTCCCTTGTGGGTCGCATAAGAAATTTAGGAAAAATGAATAATTATTTCAGAAGTTCATCCAAGCTCATGTGCAACATGATCATCTTCTAGAGTAACACGCTTGTAATAATTGAAACCTAATCAGACTCGCCTGGGAGTGACTCGATTGGAGAAATACGATTTTGAAAAAATAAATGCTTCTCAAATAAATGAATATTTGGCAAAAATATTTTGTTTTTCTCAGTGTAACTTATTACCTGTCCGTTTAGTGCCTACGTGCTACTTGCCACGATATCACACGTCGCTAAAGATGTAACGAAAAAGGTAATACAATGAGCTTTACATGAGCTGCAAGGAACCCTAATTACTCCAATAGATCTCACGAAAAATATCCAGCTGTTAAAAGTTCAAATACTGAAAGACGAATTTTATGTCATTTTTTCGAAAATGCTTAGTTCTGTTTGTTTTTATATACTGGGAACAACAGTTTTTTGAAACTCGTGGTTTGGAAATTTCGAAGTGGAAAATATCTAGAAGTACAATTTTCTAGGAAAATACAACTTCCATAAAAAACTGGAAAAAAATACAGAAACCAATGAAAATAAACCACGTCAGGGTTCAATAAAAGATCAGTAAAGATAGAACCAACGTCGTTGACGCGGAATGTTTGCAATCACTGCCTAATATCAATCTTCCATGTTCTGACCCGTGTCAGAGACGTGGGTTCTATCTTTAGTGATTTTTTATTGAGCCCTGACTTCGCTTATTTTCATTGGCTTCTTCATTTTTTTTCAAGTTTTTTAGTGAAGTTGTATCCTTCTAGAAAAATGTCATCCTCATGTCCAGGAAAAACCAAAGAAAAATTTTAGTCGGTACATCTTCTGATCATTCTTCTTCTTCAAGAAGCTTAGTCGGTAAGAGTGCCCGGCGCGTATTTGGGAGACCCGGGTTCGATTCCCGGCTGGGTGAAGCGGAAATTTTTTCTCTCTAAATTCGAATTCTCTTAAAATTCTGCTGAGCTTCTTTACTCGAGTTGACGGATGCGCTTATTCGTGTATTTTCATTCGGTAATCAATGCGCATTTAAAATGCAACAAATTAGCATCAATGTCAATCGATCATTCCTGATGATTCTCGCAACCGAAGACCTTATTTTATTCGCTGGCAAAGTAGTGGATCCAATTTCTTGCAATGTAGCTCCATAATTGACTCTTATATTTCTGATGAATATATAAAATCCTTCTCAGTCCCAGCGGCAAAAAATGTGTGGACACACGATCAATGAAAGGCCTTGAACATGTTCATGACTGTTCGTATTTGCCATCAATGACGTCAAGACCGTATTTTTGACACTCTCTAACTTCTTTACCCAAGGATTCGCAGACTAATCATCTATGTTTGAGCATATTAGAAGGGAAAAGTTTCATTAATGATCTTCGATTTCAGTGCTCTTATCTCGTATGCTTTTTCACGAGTATTCCGCATCATCAAGCAATGTGCGTGTTACTGATTACTTCATTAATTAGCCTTATCATCCAAGGTTGTCCACCTTGGACAACTTAGGCTCCCTGAATCGATCATATAAAAGATGACGATTTTTTTTTGGAGACTCAGTCAGGTAGCAAGATTGAACAATACGACACATCCGTACTTGAGCATTACCATGAAACCAGGTAAGCAAAGGCGCAATATTCTTTTTTTATATTTGTGACATTGACTCATTTTATTGATATCTACGTGTGCAGTATTAAAAATTTTCGTTTGAACTGGCCAATACTCAACGTTGCCATGTTTAGCCATCAGTTTCCTCTAATGTAACTAAAATCCCGAACTATGCAAATCCATTTTCAATAATTACAAATAATCCCAGTGGTGATGGCTAATAAAATTGTGGGGATATATTTCTGAAATATTTACGGTTCTATTTGTGGAGTGTTTGGATTTTTATTCCATTGTCGATTGTTTTTTGGTGATTTTTGAAAAAGTAGTGCCATAAGACACTTCTACTCCCATATACTTACTGCGGAAGTTCCTTACAACATGAAATTTCATAACCATTTTTTTTCCTAAATTCGATTCAATGCCCCTCTCACGAGATTTACTATAATATTCAAAAAAATTTCTAACAATGTCTGTCTCGACTAGTTCTCTTTCTACTCGCCTTCTTGGCTCTTCATGGATATGCCAGAGGATTCATATTTCCTAACCAACGAGACAATATAATACGAAATCTGGCGAATCGTCAGAATGTAAATGGAGAGAACAAATTCGTGAATCGTCAACAAGTAGAAGATGGGATGAACAAGTTTGCATTGAATTTATACAAGGTAAATGATTGGATCTACGAAATCCTATCCATTTGATCCATCATTTATTGTAATAATATTCGCAGATGGCCCTGAAGAGAGAAACAGGAAATTTAGTCATCTGTCCGTACAGCGCCTACATGGTACTCGCCATGGCAGCATATGGCGCCGAAGGCAGAACAAAAGAGGAATTATGGAAGGTTTTGCACCTACCGAGAGAACCCTCCATGTACACCGAAGCAAATCTTGCAGATATACTTGACGCCTTTACGGTATGTAATAAGCTTAATATTGGTTATAGAAATATACAAAGACTAATTATGATTCTTGATTACTTTGATAGTTCTCAAAGCCAAAATTGCCTTTGTACATCACCGCAAACATGATCGTCGTAAACAAAGATTTATCAGTGAGGCCTGAATATCTAGAACTTCTTCAAAACACATTCAAAACTCCGTTGGTAACCGTGGATTTCAGCAACAGGGTACAAGCTGCAGAGATTATCAATGCCATGAGCAACAAGCTCACCCAAAAATTCGTCCCAAAAGTTGTCGACGCAAGTGAGTGATTCTATCCATAATGCAATTTTTCATGTTGGGGGTGGGTGCTCCATCCGTAAAAAATAATATCAATCCTAACTTTCAATCTAACGGTCATCATCGTCGCAAGATTATGCGTCGCAAGATTTGCGGTTTTTTTTTTCAATATCTTGAGTGTCTAACTCATGCAACATCTCGACCAAAGTTCACACAGTCACGTTTCTTCCCTAAGCGTAATGTTGCAAAAAGTGATTTTCAGAAATTAATTTCTCGTTATATGCCTGACGGCCTGGCACATTAAGTAAGGTCGTTGCCGCACGTGTGCAAGGTTGCGAGTTCAAATCCCCGTCGGATAGAATGGTGATCTAACCATTTTAAAGACTTGATCATCATCGCAATATACTCAACCGAGTCATGGCAATGTAAAATAACACTAACATTTTTAAAAAATTCTCACTAGGATGCCCCGATGGAAGGATTAAGATTATTACTAACGTGTGGCTCAAATATGAACCTGGCATATGAGACAATATCAAAATTACGATAAATAAAGTGGGTTTTGACTAAACATTCTGAACTATTAACGAATGAACATTTGGTGAGACCAAATAGATTCTAGCCTCCTACTAGATCCATTTGTTAACAATAACTAATCCTTTCTGTCAGTGCATGAACAACCTATCTACATTCCAGTTTGATGTCACGAATCAAATTTTATTAAAGAAATGTATCTCCTCATTATCCTGCCTATGATTACAGATGCATTAGCTGCTGAACCGTCACTTATGCTTGTCAATTCCGTATTCTTCTACGGAGAATGGGCGAAACCATTTTCCAAGACAGATACATATCCCCTAGACTTCTACGTGAGTCCGGGCATCGGCAAAAAAGTATCGACGATGATTTACGATGGAATATTGCCATTCGGAAAGCTTCCCAAACTGAATGCTCAGTTTGTCGCCCTTCCGTACAAGGTGAACAATTTTTTATTCATTTTCGTTCTTTAAAAGACATCGTCTTATTTTCCTCTTGTGTGCTTTGTGAATAGAACACCGGTAAACCAGAGGATGTAGCCTACATGTACGTTATTCTACCAAACGAAGAGAAAGGTCTAGCACGAATGGAAGAGAAAATTGATTCTCTTACTCTTGAAGATTTCAAGAGTACGACGGTTGACGATCTTACGTTGTTCCTCCCCAAATTCAAAATTGAGAGAAATTTGCAGTTGGGTGATCATCTGGTCAATGTATGATTCGAGCATGAATACATTGTATATGGGTGTGCTTTATACACTCAGACTGAATTGTTTTTCTCTGTTCAGTTGGGTGCTCGAAGTGCTTTCTCATCGGCCGCAAATTTCAATGGAATCACCAAGCAATGGAACAACCTGTACATCTCAGATTTAGCACAGAAAACCTTCCTCTCGGTTGATGAAAAAGGAACTTCAGGAGGTGCCACGACAAGTAAGTTTTCCAAGAATTTCAATGTGAATTATCATGCACTTTTGGCTTTCAAATGGACCCTATGTATTTGTTTGAATTTCAATTTTCAATTGTATGTATTCGAGTAATTAAATGGGGTCTTCTAAAAGGTCCCAATATGCGATTTTTACTTTCGTGATGTTTTTTTTCTCGAAATTTACGTTATATGGGATCAATGGAATTTCATGATTTTTCCAATGAATAAGCTCTGTTCATCGAGACCAATTAAAATTCACTCTTTCATAGCTTAAAAAATTTATATCCGTAATCTCTTCATTTCATCAAAATATGATTTTTCAACAACTGTACTTAATTTTTTTAAATGCAATTATCCACTTGTTTGACTTCATTTGATTATGATAACTTAAATATTCTATATTTTCATTCAGTTGGGGAACTCGAAAACAAGATAATGCCAAAGCAGTTGCGATTTAATCGACCTTTCCTAGCAGTTATTGCAACCAAAAAACTCATCTTATTTGTTGGCAAAGTGGTGGATCCATCGATTTGAGGTGCAGTGTCCAAACTCTCCACTCAAATTTCATGAATTTATGTATATTGGATTATTTCATCTTGAGCATAAAAAATGTATGAATTCGGAATGAATAAATACTTGACATTGTATTGTCGTCATCATATTAATTAATTGTCTAAGAAAATTAATAAATGAATAAATAGATAAAATGACATTAAATAAATAATTGAAATTGTTCAAACTTTTGGAAACCTCATTTTTTTAGGCCCGAAATCAATTTCTAGTAAAATTCTGAATATGAATACATTTGTTAGGATTCCAAACAAATGATTATTATGGTAAAAAAAGGATTGTTTAGGAAATGTTTATTCCATCAATCTTCCTTCAAAAGTAGACTTTCTCATTTTTTTTTTAATTAAACAAATGTTTTCTAACTGTTCAATATCGTGATTTAAAGTTTAAATAATAAAATCATTGTAACATGTCCGCAAACTTAGGGTCAAATGGGGCGCAAATGAAAGCTGTGCTGTGAGACTACAAAAGTCGAAAAGCATGTCTACTTTTGATGATGTGTGAAAGATGCGCGAAAAAGTAAATGATTGATTTTTCTACAGTCACTATTGAAATTTCCCATTGTTAGTAGATTTAAAGTATAAATATAACTTGATAACTAAAATGTGATCAAAATTCCCTGAAAGTGTACTAGAAATTTGTAGCTAAAAAATTTTCAAGTGAAGAAAAAAAAGCGAGTTGTGATGAACTTACAAAAATTCATAACTGTAAGATGAAATATCTGCATGAGACAAGAAATTTTCTCATTCCCATAAAAACTAGAATATTGCTCATTAGTCCACACGCAATACCCCCTTCCCGTGTGCACTTCTAGTGCGGTAAGGTTTTGAGGTATTTTCTTATGTTTTCGGGTATGAGAAATCCGAATCCGGTGGTATTTTTTATGTAAGTGCGTGCAATTAATAGTTATAAACAAATTAAGTGGTTTTTTTGATTTTTTTTTATGGGAAACATTGGCAAATAGAAGAAAATGTTCATGACAAAAGTTGTTCCTTTTTGTGTAATAAATAATGATCAATTTTTTAAATCAAAATCCATCAATCCGTTGCCGAAATGTGGTCCACCAGATGAACGCGGGAGGATGCGCGGCGCGCGCAGTCCGCTCGAACCTCTTCCGTGTCGCGTACGCACCCATTTTCACATCATTTTGATGCTTTCGTCATGGATGCAACAATTGAAGGAGTAATTCTAAGAAGATAATCCTACATAGAAGTCAAAATTCAATGGAATGAGGGTGAAGCGAGCGAATGATCGATCTGTGCAACTCTACACCGTTACTTGAAAACGAAAAAAATTTTGATTTAAAAAAATGATAATTATTTATTACAACAAAACGGAACAACTTTTGTCATGAACATTTTCTTCTATTTGCCAATGTTTCCCATAAAAAAAAATCATAAAAAAAACCACTTAATTTGTTTGTAACTATTAATTGCACGCACTTACATAAAAAATACCACCGGATTCGGATTTCTCATACCCGAAAACATAAGAAAACACCTCAAAACCTTACGTTCAGAACTGGATAGGTCTTGAGGGGGTATTGCGTGTGGACTACATATAATGACGATTAAAGATTGTCTTAGATAGAAGTTCCTTTTTTTTATTTGAAAACTGATTTTCCTCTTTATGTGACCTGTAAAAAGACCTTACATCGAAAAAAAACAGAGGGGTCTCACACGATCCTTCACGTTAAATATCATCCGAAAGTTGTTCCTACATGTGTACAACCAAATCGGGAAGGAACAACACAGCTGATCAACGGATTTATGCGCTCGATCTTGCTCATTACATTGCATTGAATTTCACCGAAGGATTCACACGATTCTTATCCTCCTGCTCATTCCCATCCTCTTCATGGAACGCCCGCCCTCACCCCGATGGGCGTCGACGATTACAGAAATCTAATCACACTAGGCGAAACTCTGAGGCAAGATCCTCGAATCAAATTGAGGTAAGTTGGAAGTAGAACCTGAGAAAATATATTGCGCATTTCGTTGGGGTTCAGTCGCGGGTCGTAAGATAATCTAATCAATGATGCTAAATTATGCGAGAAATTAAGGACGAAAGGTTGTGAGAAAATGTCAAAATTCAATTGGAAATGAGGAAAATAGCAGTTATCAGGCTCAACATTGTTAACCATCAAACCAATCTTGATGATCAACGGACTTATTTGGTCCTCGGGGAACGAGAACCAGACGATTATTCACCTTTACAAAGTCCTGATTATGGGCTAGATTTTGTGACTGTTTACCCGGGATACTTTCTAATCTGAGGTACCGATGGACGACCCTGGGGGCAACCCACAAACGACCAACGCGTCCCTATCTCAAACGAGACATGTCTTCGGATGAACTATTTTATCCAAATGTCTACGTAAATTGAACAATAAAGTCGATACTGCATCGTTCTACCGTAATTTTTCATGTGTACCATATCGCACGCTGACATCTTCAGAAATTTGACCAATCGACCCATATGGAAAAATATTATTTCAAAAAAATATATATGTTATATATGGAATTGGCCTGATTTATTCGTTTGTTTTGTACCCGTCTTAACGTCATGTGGACGAACGGAGCTGAATTTTTAGCAAACGGCTTCGGTAAAAATCATTCTCCGTTAGAGAAAAATTATACGAAAAAATGAAGTGAAACTTCAGGTAATTTCATTATTAAAAATTCAAAATTATTCAATTAGTTATTAAATTTCGCAAACTAGTTGTTGAAATTCACCAAATAACTTTCTCCGTGTAAAAAAGACCCATGGCGCTTGAAATCCATGTGAATAGTTACTTCCTTTTCGAATTCGGTCTCGAATGGACCACTTAAAGTAAATGCTCAACTCCACCTCAACTTTTGTATCTTGCTGTCACAATTGCTTCTATTTTCCTGTCCTCATCCTCCAACAATTACAAAAATAGATAATCAGTGCAATGAGTCATGGAAATACTTGTCAGCCAAATTACTGCAAATAGACATGAATTTACATTCTGAAGCCGAGACGTGTTTCAATTGGCCGAACAATCATCTCTAAAAAAGAGTGTGAGGATTCCCGAAGGAGTTGCCCCAGGGGTTTCTGGCTATTGCGTTCCATGCTGAGGAATGCCGCCGGTGCTCCGAAAACTTGGCGCTAAAATAGCCAGTTGCTGGGGATATAGCGTGCTGAGAGAAGTTAAAAGTGCTCTCGCTCGTTTGCCAGCATTGAATCCTTCTGTTTTATAAACAAGGTGTCTGAACCGGGTATTCAGATTTTTTTTTCGAATTTTCAAATATCTCGAAGTGAGGAAAAAGAAATTTTAAAACAAGTTTTCAGTATTTGCAACTGAATAATTAAATTTTGCCAGAGTATTCTCAGAGTCATTACATAAACTGTGACATCTGGATACTTTGATAAGAAAATCTTGATAAGAAGACCAAATAAAGTCTCTGGCAATTACAACGCCGTATTAATTGCAAACCATCTGTTATGTTTCTCCTCTCTTGGATATTCATTATCACATTTGTCACTTCAACAGGAGTTATAACGTCATTAGAACAAAAATAAAATCAAGTATCGATAACTAAAGTACGATTGTAACGCATTCTTATCCTCTGACCTTCATAAAATGTTTCGCTTCAAAATTCATTCGAATTTCAAGCCCAGAAAATTCTCATCTAGAGACAACTACCAGTATACCAGCACGCTAACCTAATTTTTTAATAATTCATCCCATTAGCACCCTCGTTAAGGATAAAACACATCGTTCCCTGATTATCCTGTTATTTTTGATCCCATACTAGCGGTAGAATATATTCTCCTCAATTACGTAATGATCCACATTGAATAATTGAATTGTACAGAAAATAAATACCGTTGGATACCGTGCGTCGCTTGAGAAACCTTCGCCTTGACCTTGAACAATTCCCCTCGACCGTCCTAGCAAAGGTGAACCGGAGGGAAAAGAGAGAGGCTCTTCCAGAGCCTCGTGCGCGCTCTCGCGTCTGCGTGCAATGCTCTGTTTCCAGACTTGCGTAATACTATCAGACCTAACGATATACTCATTCTTCGATCATATGTACTCCGCCGTTCTTTAAGAGGAATCCTCAAAAAATTCTGATACCCGTAGTGAGACGAATTCTCCAAGCAACTATTATGTAATCATGCACAATGGGGCGTAGGCGTGGTTGTTCATTATACCAACTAGGTCTTTTGTGAGATGAGATAGGTCGGCAGACCATACTCACGAGGATTAAGGATGATCACTCAAAAAAAAAATTATTTCTGATCAGTAGAAAACGTACTTCTACCCAGTACCAAGGGGTTTCTGAGGAAAATTTGAGGCCAATTTAGGACTTCCTCGAAGTCACAAAACAACTGGATGCAAGTATCATGCGTCAAGTATCTGGGTACTGGTGAAAAGTACCTCGGTACTCTTGTTACTCGGAATTTTTTCACGAATTCATTCAACATTACAAATGAAGATCCAAATGTTGGCGCGCAAGTGAACACGCAGAAAAATACGTTTTTGAAATGGTAATTCACGTTTTCAAAAACGTAATTTACGATTTTCTCAAAAGGCGAGAGTAAGTTACGATCAGATAAACGTGAATTACGATTCTCAAAGTTGGAAATCAGTTCGGTTTGGAAAGCACTCATAAAAATTCCAATCTCCCGATTTTTTCCTACAAAATATCTTCTAAATACTTCTATTCACAAAAATGCGCAAGATAGCGCATTTTATTCGTCGATAATATTCGCTTTTCCCAATGAAGTAATCAATTAAAAATACTGAAATTAAATCATAAAAGTACTTGAGAGAAATTCAACAATTACTTTTCACGAGTACCGTCGGTATTGTAAAACGTACTAAAAGTTGTGAAGCTACTTCCTCTCATTACTGTTTCTACTTAATCGGCAGAAGTGGTACTTCACTCAACGATACAAAAAGTACTTGGGACAAGTACTTTTCGAACATTTCACAAGCGAACTTATATTTTCTCACTGATTCTCAGAGAAATTTGATGTGA